CCGGGCCGCCCAGTCACCTACCGGCCGAGCGCCGACTCCGCAAACGCGAGCGTGCGCGCCCCTCCAGCGAAGGCCTGCCGCTGCCGACCCCTGCGCTCCGGACCAGGTCGCCCCGCCCCGCCCCGCTAGCCACGCCCCCGGCGGCGACTTTGCCTGGCTTCACTCCTCCTTCTTCGGGGCGCGCCGCCACTTTGTCCCCGCCCACTCTTCCATAATAGCCAATGAAACGGCCCGATTCGTTCTGCCCCCCCCCGGTTTCCCCCTTCCTAGCAACGATTGGTTAACGAGGCCTAGTTTCCACAAATGGACACTATTTCCGGGCAAGGTTTGTAGAGGAGGTTACTGGGCGAGCCGATTGACGGGAGGCGGAGGCGGTGCGGCTATGCACATGCGCACTCGGCCCTTGGCGCTCGCCCGGTCGCATTCTTGAGATTACGGGAAGGAAGGGAGACTGTGCGCATGCGTGGGCACTCCCTGTGCGAACTCCGGTTACCTTGGAGATGGCAGGGCACTCTCCCTCTAGTCCGCGTGCAGCTTCCTGACTGGCACAAGGGTGAGGGCGGTGGCATTAGGAGTGCTGTTCCCCGGCCGGGGATGTAACTCAACGGCATAGCGCTTGACTGGCAAGCGCGAAGCCCTGGGTTCAACTCCTGACACACACAAAAAAATGTACAAAAAAACAAAACAAACAAAAAAAAAAACAACAGGGAAAAAAGCTGTTCCTGAGCACCGCAGACCGAAGACGAGGGAGACGGTACCCCGGAGCGCAGTGCACACCTGTAGACACGCGCCACGGTCACAGTGCTCCTTTCTGAACGGGGGCAGGGAGGGGTGGCCAGGCAGGGAGCATTTTTTTTTTTTGCAGAGATATTTTCTAGAGTTCTCACGATGAGCTTGTGTTTCATTTGTCATAAACATTCCAAACTTTGGGCCAGTGATATAGCTCAGGGCTGGGAATGTAGCTCAGTGGCACAGTGCCTGCCTGGCAACTGTGAGGTCCTGAGTTCGATTCCCAACACCAAAAAAAAACCAAAACACCCAAACTTCATTGCTTTCTGAAGTTTCCAAAATAAGAGATGTGCTCCTACCCTGTCTCCCCGATTCCATCAGGGGTCCCGGCAGACGGGGATGGGTGAGTCTTTAGGGAGAATCTGCTTGGGACCCCTGACAGGACCCTCCATCCCAGCACCTCTCTCTGGAGGTCGGTACCCACTGGACAGATGCTGGCTGGGGCCTGGGGAAGCCGGTTCATTTAGGCAGGGGTGGGAAGCTGACAACCTGAGAGCCTCATCTCTCACCTGGGCCACAAATCCAGTTTGTTCAGCTGGCCCAATGTCGTTTGCTTTTTTCTTTCGAGACAGGGGCTTGCTATATAGGCCAGGTTGGCCTTAAACTCACTGTGTAGCCCTGGCTAGTCTCGAACCTGTGATCCTCCTGGCTCAGCCTACAGAATGCTGGGGTGACAGGCATGCACCACCTTGCCCTATGTGGCCCAGTGTTCTTTTTTTAGACTGAAATTTGAATGCCTTAGTGCAGAGCCTGCGGCTCCTCATAGCCCTAATCCCTGTCCTACTCCCAATCAACCTTGTATCTTGCCCCCCGCCCCCGCAGGCAGGGCACGGCTCCCACAGAGCCTGTGTTTCAGAGCCAGGCAGCCTCTGGGCACGTCCTGGCTGCCAGTGGCCTGCTTGGGAGACAGTGGGCAAGAAGAGGATATGGGGCCCCAGAGTTGGCTCACCCCTGGGGTTTGCATTCAGTGATTCGAGCACAGGCAGAATTGAGGCAGCTGTGCAGGTTGGTACCAGACTTTGGGTGCGTGCTTGCCCTCCCACCGCCTGCTTGCCTCTGGGCACACCACTTCTAAGGAAAGC